ATGTTTCTTAGAGAGCAGCTGAGAGGCCGGCAAGGCAGGTGGGGAACCTGGCTTCCTCCGTCACTGGAGCAAGCAAGCCTCCCTGTTTGCGTCAGCTGCCTGGCTGCCGGCTGCCATCTTGGTTGGCAGTTAATTTGCATATCTCACTGATTAGCCAATGGGAAGGGTAGTGGCCGTACGGCTAATTACCATGTTTCTCTTTTATTATATAGGATAAGCTCAAAGACTCCATCTAAGTCAAAGCTTCCATCATCTTTATTTATTCCAGCTTTACTGAGGTAAAATGGGCAAATAAAATTATAAAATTATAAGATATTTAAAATGTACAATGTGATGATTTGATATATGTATACATTGTGAAAGGACTCCTCCCATTAGGTTATTTAACACATTTGTAACCTCACATACCTATCCATGGTGTTAAAATGATCACATCATGCTGGGCATTATTACTAATTTAAGTTGCAGCCCAATAAGTCCAGGGTCTTAGGTTCACTGATAGCAGACAAGCTAGCCTTGTGATAGCTCCATTCAGTAGATGTCCTCTCCAACCCCAGCCAGCAATCTCACTATGCACTACTCACAGAGGAGCCCATGCTCTCAGCTCTCCTACAAACCCACCCATTGTGGGAAATGCTAGTTTACTCCCTGACGATAGGACATTAGCACCACTTTGTACAAAAAGCACATTATACAGGCATACCTCATTTTATTGCACTTGGCTTTATTGTGCTTTGCAGATACTGTGTTTATTACAAATTTGCCCTCCACAAGCAAAGAGATTAAACTTGCTACAGGCTCAGATGATGGTTAGCATTTTTTATCAATAAAGTATTTTTTAAATTAAGGTATGTAGATTTTTTAGACATAAAGCTATTGTACACTTAATAAACTATAGTGTAGTGAAACATAATTCTTATACACCCTCAGAAACCAAAAAATTCAAGTGACTTGCTTTATTGCAGTGGTCTGGAAGTGAACCTGTAATATCTCTGAGGTATGCCTGTACATACATGGAACATCAGAAGTTATAAGCACTTAGACACAAGAAATCCTATCCTATATAATAAAAGCATAATATGCAAATCGACCGAACGGCGGAACTACCGGTCGCTATGATGCGCACTGACCACCAGGGGGCAGATGCTTAATGCAGGAGCTGCCCCCTGGTGGTCAGTGCGCTTCCACAGGGGGAGCGCTGCTCAGCCAGAAGCCGGGCTCATGGCTGGCAAGCGCAGGCAGGCGGTAATGAGCGAGGGGTCTCGGATTGCGAGAGCCCCGGACTGCGAGAGGGGTGCCTGACTGCTGGCTATTCCCCGAGGGGTCCCGGACTACAAGAGGACGCAGGCCAGGCTGAGGGACTCCCCTCACCCCCTAGTGCACGAATCTTGTGCACCAGGCCTCTAGTCAATTATAAACTGAAAAACAACCTTTGAAACCAGATTTAATTAAAGATCAATGCAACTACTTTACATATAAAATGTTCAATAGTTTCCATCCCTTACTAGGCTATCAAAGTAATTTTTTTCTATGAGTACCTCTTTCCGTTTTAATTCTTCAACTGTTTTCAATGCATTACTGAATTCTTGAAGAAGTTTGTTGTGTGTCAACTGTAGAGTGGCTAATTTGGACCTGTTTAAAAAGAAATTGAGAAATGGAATCTTGGGGGAAAATATCATGGAAACTTACAGTCTTGCCTCTCAACCTTCTGAACACTCAAGGAGCAAAATCTTTTCTCCTACTTAAAAAAAAAAGGTTTTTATTGATTTTTTTTTTTTTTAAATAGAGAGAAACATTGATTGTGTTGTCTGGGGACCAATACCACAACCTGGCCATGTGCCCTGACTGGGAATCAAATCGGCGACCTTCCAGTGTATGGGACAATGCTCAACCAACTGAGCCACACCAGCCAGGGCTCTTTTCTCTTACTTTTACCATCCCACCACCTACAAGCATGTTCTTACTCTCAAAGAAAACAGTTTTTTCCAAAAAAATCAAAATAAGATTACAAGTAATTTTAATGTTTGTTATAAAACTTAAATTTTATCTCCTCAGAAAAGTCTCCTAGCACTCCTTCAAATAAAAGAAAAAAATGTAAATGTATTTTCAAATCCTAATTTCAATCTGTATAAAAGAGCTATTCTATCTTCTTTGTGCAAGTAGCCATTCAATCACAGCATACTCACTTTTCCTCTTCTGTTTTTGCTTGCTCCATTTTGATATCTGATCGCATGCTTTCCACTTGTAGCTCTAACTTTTTGTTATTATAAACAAGCTCTTGCTTTTCATTCAGCTCTGATGGGGTTGCAGAATTTTTCCTTTCAAGGGCCTGACATCTAAGAAAGATAAAAATAACATGAAGATATACAATGCTCCTTCATTTTCTGTGGTTTTTAAACAAATCCAAAGATTAGCAAATATAAAGAATTTTGGGATTGCGTTTTTCAAGGATTTAGTAGTACAAAATAAAATATTCTATCCTCCTTCTTGACTAGAAGCAAGTAGTTTTTCTGAACCCCTATGCCTACACATAAAAAAGCACAGATATAAGATCACACAAACTACTGCCCACTTGTAATAATTAAGTAGTCATGCAAATATATTTTTGTTTTTTAGTCACAGACCAGAGTAGTAAATTGCCTGAAGATGCCTCTCATATGGTGATCCATGGATATCTTCTGTATTTTAAAAAGTGATGGGTTCTGTTAAGCAAAAAGACTATGACTTCTGACAAAGATTCAACAGGGGAAAAGGAAATACCCTAAATTCTCTTAAAGATCAAAAAAAGAATTTCAATATAATAATAGCAAATATGAATCAGTGATAATTATGTGCAAGGCATCAATGCCAAGCATGTTAAACATGATCTCACTTAATGCATTATGACATAGGAATTATGACACAAATTTTACAAATAATAAAACTGAGGCTCAGAGAGGTTAAATAAATAACTTGCCCAATGTTAATACCACAAATAAATTGTAGATCTATATTTCAACCTAAGGTCTGTTTGGCCAAATTCTTAGCTATAACTGCCATGTTGGAAATTACAGCCTTGGAAAATGTAACTCGAAGCAAACATGTTTGTATGTTATGCTGGGAATATGTTTGCCTACTAAGCCAAAAGAACAACATCAACTTAACTTTTTTAAATTTGGGGGGGTGGGGGTAACCTCTTACATCAAGAGAAACCAGCAAATGCAAAATTCTCAATTTATATGTTAGCCTTTATAATTATTTGAAAAAAATTTTTTCTAAGTAAATCTCACTCAAGTTCTTGATATTTGCAGCTTTCTTTTATGTTTGTTCACATGTCAGCTAATGTAAGTCACAAAAGATCCACTTCACTGCTTTTTACAGGTCCTCAGATAGGCTAGTATGCTTAACAAATGTCCCCAAACAGCAGAATTGGAGTCCCCAGGCCCCATTCCCCCACATCACTATAAGTATTTCATGTTTATATATTAACCTGAACATTAGTGTTTTCTGAATTCATATTTTAATTAGATCTCTATTTTTGTTTTGGTCAGTAACACAGTAACAAAACTATGTTTTCATACAGTAATATATTATATAAAAATGTACATTTTATGAAGGAAGATAAAATTCATCTCTCATTCTTACTTTTCTTGAAGTCTCTTCTTCATTAGCTCAGCTTCACTGAGTTTCATATGAGCCTCCTGAAGCTCCTTAAACAGAGCTGTCACCTGAAGGTTCAAGGCTTCCACTTCACTTCCAACCTGTCGTACAGAAAATCCCAAACATAATTTGCATCACATTAAAAGCACCTCTTTGTGGGGAAACAGTGTGAACCATTAGTGTCCAGTTAAGACTGACTGGTGATAGGATTAAACTTTTGACAATGAATGCCCCAAATATCTTGTATAAAAAAAAAAGTTTGGATACAACTGTTCCCTCATAGAGTATTAATAGATCAATTGGGATGCACTTGTGATAATAACTTTGCCATAATTAAAATTAATCCTGATCATAGTTCAGGGGATCATAGATCACAGTGGTGTCAAAGCACAATCTAGTTTATTCAGTTAGCAACTCAAACCCATATTCCTGTCAGGTTTATGTTTCTAGTAAACTCAACTCTTTTCTCTGTACCACCTTTCTCCTGGAAGCTCTAGAATTTTTGTCAGTGACTTTTATGGTGCCTTGGAAGTCTCAGTACTTCTTTATCTATTATTGGTTATCAAATAGTTTTAGTGAACTGGGTACTATTACTCACGGGTTGTCCCTTCATCTCAGTTTTTTAAATGTTCTCCATTTTCTAGAAAGTAGAGGGTCTTTCAATATATATTTGTTAAATAAATGAATTAGCTAAATTGTATGGGTTATTGTGGCTCTTACAACTTCCTGGCTTCATCAACTTTCCCTAGGTTTAAGACTATGTTTTCAGACTCCAAGATAGTCAATGAGTTGCCATTAAACAATGAACTTTTCTCATTGAAACTATTTTACTCAAACCAGTAGTGGGATAGAACCAATATCTTTCACTTCTATTCAAGTTTCTGAGCCATATCCTCAAATGATCTCATTATAAAGTAGTCAACATTCTTTCTCATTTACCAGGCCTTTTCACTTAGGAATTCAGGAGAGGAAATCAGTCAAGAAGAGGAAGAAGAGTCATTTCCTAAAATCACTAGGTTAGGAATACATCTCACTACAATTTACAGTGAATGAAATTCAAATCAGGACAAGGAACTATGACCGAAGAAGAAAATATTCAATGTTAAAATTATTTATAAATTTCTAAAGCTAATAACACATCACAAGATTCGACTCCAGGTTCTGTACTACTCTTATGTTCGTTATGGGTGTGAGAACAATCTTACAAATATAGTACCCACAGTTTCTGTGTCTTTCTTCTCTTCTTCCTCTTTTTCTGTGTTCCCCTCTGTCTGGGTCTCCATATCCGAACGATCATTGGCTTTCTTTTCAAAATCTGAAATTCTAAACATTTACAGAATATAGAGAAATTACTTTATCTTTGATTTCAAAAGGAATAACAATTGCAGAAGCACCAAAAAGAACACTGTTCAAATTTTGGATAAAGGATCAGGGGTTTTAAAAATCTCTTTGCATTCAATGTATTAGCTTTGGTTTAGCTTTCATCCTAAAATTGGCTAGAACTGAATTAAGAGATGAATGCACACAGAGGTAAAAGGTATAATTCATCCCGAAGACTGAAAAAACACTGCCTCTTTTCATGTCACTGACATAAACACAAATATTTTAAAAATTTGTGTGTATACACATGTGCATGCTTGTGTGTTACATGAGTGTGTGTGTGTCTTTTATAAGAATTCAGCAGAGAAGGAAAGACTTTTCTTGTTGGACCCATCTAAGTTTACAAGTCCCTAAAAACAAACAAATGTAGCAACATTCTTCCACTGAATCATAATCAATGAAAGCCCCAATAAAAATGAAAGAGACTTGTGGTTAAAGATGGTAGATTGAATATATGCAATTTCCCCCTACCCCAAATGACTTAAAAAGCCATATACTACAAGAACAAAGAGAAAGGAAGAAGAAGAAAAAATAAGATTTGGGAAGCATAGATGTGAGTGGGAACTCACTTGGCAGCCCCAAAAGTCTGGATCTGAAGCCAACAGAGCCAAGATGTAACTCAATTTGAACCCAAAAGGCTCAGGGGTTGGTGACAACAGGTACCTCTGGGTAAAGAAAGGGTATGTTTACTAGTAAAAAGGACTAGAAGATAGCAAAATAAAGGGACCCTTCATTAGTCAGAGTTGAGGGCTAGGGTTTCCTACTGAAAACCAGGGAGCTTACACACAGAGTACTGAGAACCTCAGTCTTCTATTAATCTCAAGAATCCTGGCATCTAGAAGAGTACCCTCCAGGCAGGAAACTGGAAGTTTCCTCTGGAGTATGTGACCAGGAGGATTGAAAAGATTTAATGTTTCTAACATGGGGTTCCCTAAGGAAATCTCCAAGCCAGATCTCCCTACACGTGACACAGTTAGCTTCTAATTCCCCCTCTTATATTTGATCAGACAGCAAGATTACCAGACACTTGAGGAAAATCTTAAACGGAAACAGAAAAAAGTAAATGACAACAAATGCAATTTACTTAAATTAGAATATGCTGGAGTGGGGGTTGGAACTTCCAAAGAACTATCATTAATATCCTTAAAGACACAGGAAACATTACAACCAAAACAAAATGCAACATTATAAAAAAGGAACATTCAAAGGACCCCACCCTCCCTCCAAAAAGGAAGATGAAAGTTGATCAAATGTATCAGAAAGGAGAAAGAGAGAAAGAAGAACAGAGTTAAGGAAATTAGAGGATTTGTCCAGGATTTGTCCAATTCATAATGAGTAGTGTTAGAGAGAACAGAAAAAAAAATGAGGATAAGAGATTATACCTAAATTAATTCAAGACAATTTTTCAAGAACTGAAGGACACAAGTTTGCAAAATTAAAGCCCAAGTGTCCAGAATAAGTGCATGAAAAAGAGGCTCACTCCAAAGCACATGAGAAATTCCATTCCAGAAGATTAAGAATCAAATTATAATGGCTTTCTTAGCAGTAATATCAGAAGGTATAATACAATGAAGTAATGCATTCAAAATTCAGGAAAATTATGTGCAGCATAGAATTTTATATCTAGCCAAACTATCCATAAAGTATGAAGATAGAGAGATTTTCAGATATGCAGATCTTAGAAAATATACTCCCCATATATTTTCTTAGTAAATTAGAGATGTCATGAGCCCTATTTGAAAAAAATTTTTTTTTAAGATTAAGAAAAACATTGGATTCAGGGAACAGGTGATCCAACACAGGAGAGCGGAAGGAATTCCACAGGAAGATGGGAAAGGGAGATTCCAAGGTAACTGAAAAACAGCAGGTCCTAGAAAGCAAACAGGCCAGACACCAGGAAAAAAGTCATCAAGAAGAAACTACTACTGGATAGTACTAACATGTTTGAATGTAACTGACAGATTTCCCCATTTGGAAAGGGGGAAAATAAGCAAAAATTTGAAAGGTAAATATGCAGAGAGGTAAAAAAAAAATACACACACACACACACACACACACACACGCACACACACACACACATACATACACACAGAAGGAAAGCTGGTCAAGACATAGAGCACAGCTTAACTGAGAACTGTGTGTATGTGCATAATAAAAACACTGATTCATGATTTAACTAAGTTTCAATGTATTATAATCAATTTCAGAGTTGGACTAGGAGGGGAAGAAGGGTCCAGAAGCATGTGTGTGGTGGTGATGATGGGGGTGAAAGACAGTTAAATTTTCATTCTTTACAGTGGGAGGTCAACAGATTATGTTTAATATAGGGGGGAAATTTTAAGTAGCCATTTAAGCCTGATATATGAAGGTAAATATCAAATGAACCAGGTAAATATGTTGAAAATGGTTGTGTGGGAAGCAGGAAAAGGAAGCAAGGGGTTTGGTCAAGGAGCTGCTATTTTCCCATAAGAAACTATGTAACAACCAAGTCTTTATATGAATGCAAAACTGATTTTTAAAAAGGAACTTAATGGTAATAAAAAATAAAACAAACAATAATGGTATCTGTTGCAAATTGCCAAACCTAATTGGTGCACAGACACTGTTCCCAGCTAAGCAAATAAGTGGATTAAGATCCAATTGGGGCAGGGTTAAAGGAGAGCCTCTACTATTCTGTGAGCAACAAACCAAACTGAGTTGGGGTCTCAGACAATTTGCTCATATGATTGCAAAGACAGACAGAAACTCCCGGATTGGAGAGGGCTCCCCTGAGGGCTCCCAGATTGGAAAGGGTGCAGGTCAGGTTGAGGGACCCCCACACCCTCCAGTGCACGAATGTCATGCACCGGGCCTCTAGTGTATACACACACACACACACACACACACACACACACACACACACACATGTAATGAAAAATCAGGGTGTATAATTAGCACACTCCTAAGTTTGCTTTTTGTTGTTGTTAATCCTCACCAAAGATATTTTTCTATTGCTTTTAAGAGAGAGTGGAGGAGAGAGAGAAAAACATAGATATGAGAGAGACACATCAATTGGTTGCTTCCCGTACATACCCTTGCCCAGGAATCGAACCTGGGACCCTTTGGTGTGTGGGCTGACACTCTAACGTGTCACATATAGAAATTTTTTGATATTTGCAACCATAGTAAAACAAAGATTTATATTTTTGATATTTATTTTATATATTTAAATGCCATTTAACAAAGAAAAATCAACCAAAAAAATGAGTTCACGTGTCACCTCTGACACGCGTGTCATAGGTTCGCCATCACTGCTCTAACCACTAAGCAACACTGACCAGGGCCTAAGTTTATACTTTTATTATTAAAGCTAATCATGTTGTCTAAGTAAGGATGAATTACTGGCTACACTTGACACTTAGAATGGTGTACAGAACTTAGGAGAGGAAACATGCCTGAAATAAACTAACACACTGATTACTCATAACTATTAAAGCACTAGAGGCCCAGTGCATGAAATTAGTGAACGGGTAGGATCTCTAGGCCCGGCTGGTGATCAGGGCCGATCTGCAGGGCGACTGGCGGGGCAATTGAGGGGGCCCCCACTGGCACCCGCCTTGGCTGGCCTGGGTCCTGCGGGCTGGGGGAAGCTCCTGTGTTGAGTGTCTGCCCCCTGGTGGTCAGTGAGTGTCATCACGACTGGTTGTTCCACCGGTCATTCCACCATTCAGTTGATTTGCATATTAGGCTTTTATTATATAGGATAATATTTTACCTTTAAAATCAGCTGTAATAAGATGGCAGAGTAGATAAATGCAGTACTCACATCCTCCCAAAACCACATCAAAATTACAACCAAACTACAGAATAACTATCATTCAGAACTGCATGAAATCTAGAAGTCCTATAATTAAGGATATAAAGAAGCCACATTGAGACTTGTAGGAGGGATGGAATGCAGAATTGGCTGGTCCCACTCCCACATGCGGCAGATAAAAATCAGGAGGGATAGCTAGGCTCCAGAGGTCCCTTGTGAGGGTGAGGGGTCCCAGCTCAGGATTTCAGTGCCAGGAAGAGAAGTCTCAAGTAACATCTGGCTGTAAAAACCAGCAGACTCACTCACTCTGAGCTCCAGTGCTGGGGCAGTAGCTCAAAAGGCACAGGGACATATGGGGAGAAACTGAAGTGTCTGGTTTCAGGGCAAGAGCTGGAGGGGCAGCTTTTTCCAAGGGAGAAGTACTGGTAAAGGCTACTGCTTCTTTTTTGAGCCCTCCCTACACAGAGCCAGCAGGTAGGCACCATATCTGAGTCTCCATCACCCTGATGAGTAGTTATATTTAATGGTGAAAGTCTAAAAGCTTTCCCCCTAAGATTAGGAACAAGACAAGGGTGTCTCCTCTCTCCACTTTTATTTAACACTAGTGACCCAGTGCATGGATTCATGCACATTGAAAGAAAATTAATTAGAAGAAAGATTTGTGCGATAATTACATTACTGCAAAAAATTATGTGTCAAAATAGTATATATAATACTAGAGGCCTGATGCACAAAATTTGTGCAAGAGCAGGTCTTCCTTCCCCTTGCTACCGGCACCAGCTTCCCTCTGGCACCCGGGACCCAGGCTCCCCTCCGGACGCCGGCAGGCACCCAGGACCCAGGCTTCCCTCGAAGCTCCAGCTTCATCCGGAAGGTCGTCTGGTCTAATTAGCATATTACGCTTTTATTATTATAGATTGTACTGGAAGTTCTAGCCACTGTCATCAGGCAAGAAGAATATATCCTGGTTGGTAAGGAAGAAGCAAAACTATATTTGTAGATGACATGATCTTGTATGTAGAAAATATTAAGGAACTCATTAAAAATTATTAATGCTAATAAGTGTGTTCAGCAAAGTTGCAGGCTACAAGATCAATATACAAAAATAAGATGTATTTCTATAACTAGCAATGAATAATCCAAAAATGAAATTAAGAAAACACCAAATTAAGCACCAAAACACTAGAATGTATGGGAATAAATTTTGAAAAAGAAATGTAAGACCTGTTTTATGCTGAAAACTATAACACATCACTGAAAGAGATTAAAGATGACCTAAATACCCCATGTCCATGAATCAGAAGACTTACTATTGTTAAGATGGCAGTGTTCCCTAAGTTGATCTATAGAATCACTGCAAACACTAACAAAATCCAAGCTAGCCTTGCCCCCACCAGAAATTAACAAACTTACCGTAAGTTTATATAGAAATACAAGCAACTCTGAATGGCTAAAACTATCTTTTAAAAGTAGAAAAGAGTTGGATGACTCACACTTCCCCCACTTCAAAATTTACAACAAAACTATAGTATTTGTGACAGTGTAGTACTGGCATAAGGATAGTTAAATAGATCAATGGAATAAAATTGGAGGTTTAGAAATTAATTTTTGCCTTTATGGTCAACTGATTTACCCCAAGGGTACCAAGACACTGCAGTGTGGGAAAGAATAATCTTTTCAACAAATAGTGTTAGGACAACTAGATATCGATACACCAAAGAATGAAGTTGAACCCTACCTCACACCATAAAGAATGAACTAAAAATGGATCATACACTTAAATGTAAGTATTAAAACTATAAAACTCTTAGGAAAAAACATAGGAGGGAATCTTTGTGACCTTGGGTTAGTGAGTGGTCTTTTAGATATGATACCAAAAGCACAAGAGACAAAAGAAAACATAAATTGGAGTACATTAAAAAAAAAAAGTGTGTGCCTAGTTGGTTTGGCTCAGCGGATAGAGTGTTGGCATGCGGACTGAAGAGTCCCGGGTTTCTTTCCGGTCAAGGGCACATGACCGGGTTGTAGGCTCGATCCCCAGTGGTGGGCATGTAGGAGGCAGCTGATCAATGATTCTCTCTCATCACTGATCTTTCTATCTCTCTCTCCCTCTCCCTTCCTCTCTGAAATCAATAAAAAAATATATTTTTTAAAAAGTGTGCTACAAATGATACCATCAAAGAGATGAAAAAGATAACCCAAAGAATGGGAGAAAATATTTGCAAATAAAAAGTCTCATAAAGGACTTGTATCCAGAATATATAATGAGCTCATAATAAGAAGACGGCAATTTTTTTTTAAATAGTCAAAGGATTTGAATAGATATTTCTTCAAAGAAGATGTATAAAATGGTCAACATGAAAAGATACTCAACATTATTAGTCATTAGGGAAATAAAATCAAAATCATAGTGAGACACCACTTCACATCCATGAGGATGGCCATAATTAGGAAGACAGACAATAACAAGTGTTGTTGAGGATGTAGAGAAATTGGAACCCTCCTACATTGCTGGTGGGAATATAAAATGGTGCAGCCACTATGGCCTAAAGTTTGGTAGTTTCTGAAACTTGAGTATGTAGTAACCACATGAACCAGCAATTTCACTCCTTAGTATACACCAAACATAATTTAAAAAATAAAGGTTGTCCCAAAATTCACGCAAGAAGTAATTTTGATAGTAAACACAGGTTTATAATTAAAAATTGTAAATTTTTTATTGATTCATAAAATATACAGTATAGGGTTATGTATGGAATAGCATATCAGGTAAATGGCCTCCACGGCTTTGCTGGCACATACGCACTCTTTTGTTGAAATTTTCCATGACTGTTTTGCATAAATGTGGCTGAATTTCGATGAGGCTCATTTTCATCTTGATGGAGTGGTTAATCGACAAAATTGTCGCATTTGGGGTTCAGAAAATCCACAAGTGATTGTTGAGAAACAAATGCATCCACAACATGTCACTGTTTGGTGTGGCTTTTGGGCTGGAGGCAACATCGGACCATTCTTCTTCGAAAATGCGGCTGGTCAGGCAATAACAAAAAAGTGTGTATGTACCAGCAAAGCTGTGGAGGCCATTTACCCGATATGCTATTCCACACATAACCCTATACTGTATACTTTATGAATCAATAAAAAATTTACAATTTTTAATTATAAACCTGTGTTTTCTATCAAAATTACTTCTTGCATGAATTTTGGGACACGCTTTAGTTGCATTTGACCCTACTTTTTAACCCTGTTTATAGGTTGGCCAAATATTCTGGTGCCATTTTATCCATGAGGAACTAGAGGCCTAGACAAGTAAGACCACTTTTATCAAGTAGTTCTTGGCTATTTAGTGGTAGATTTTATATTTAAACTAATTCATGAATTCCACATTTTTGCTATTTCCATAAAACCCTGACTGAAAGAGATAGATGTGTGTTCAAGTCACAAATTTCTTATCCCAAATGATTCAAGATGACTTAGAGATGCAAACTGGCTGATCAGCTATTAGTTATTTTTCTTACTGAAATATATAATGAGAGAATTCAAAGTTCCCAACTAAAACTTTTTTTAAAAATATATTTTATTGATTTTTTTACAGAGAGGAAGGGAGAGGGATAGAGAGTTAGAA